ATCACATTTAAGTAAGATAAAATATAACATAGTACAGTATGTTAAAATATCCGTATAATACAATGTCAAAAATAAAATGTCATATAAATATCATATTATAGTATGATAAAAATGTCACAGTATAGAATGATAAAAATACTACAGGATAGTGAGATAAAAAATATCAAAGTATCAAATAAGTATAGTATAATTGTCATAATATAGTATGATAAAAAACGTAATAGTAGAGTATGACAAAAACATCATATTACAGAATCAAAAACGTCATAGTATAGTATGTAAAAAATGAAGTTAAGTTTGATAAAAATATCACAGTATAGAAAGATAAAAATGTAAAAGTATTAGATGAAAAAAACTTGATAGAATAGAAAGGTAGAAATATTTAAGTTTAGTAAAATTGTCATAGTATAGTTGAATAGAATTTAAGTATGATAAAAATAAAGTATTTTAGCAAAAGAATCATAATATGGTCTGATAAAAATATCATAGTACAGAATGATAAAGATGTCATAGTAGAATATAAAAAAAATCATAATACAGTAGGAAGAAAATGTCATTGTATATTATGTTAAAAAAATCCAAGTTAAGTTTGATAAAAATACAGTAGTATCGTAAGATAAAAATGTCATAGTATTTGATAAAAAAAAGTAGTACTGTTTACTAAAAGTATCTGATCAGTACGATAGAAATGTAATATTATAGTATGATAAAATGTTATAGTATAGATCGATAAAAATATCATAGGAGAGAATGGAAAAAAACATCATAGAACAATATCATAAAAATGTCATAGTATGGTATGATAAAAGATGTCTGTATAGTATAAATAAACTAAAGTATAGTATGTTAAAAATGACATTGTAGAGTAGGACGAAAATGTCATGGTGTAGTATGTTAAATTAAGTCATAGTATAGTAAGTAAAAACAGGTCACAGTATAGTATGATTAAAATGTTATAGTACAGCATGTTAAAACTTTGTTTAAAAGTAAAGTATGTTAAAAATGTCACAGTATAGTATAAAAAAAATTCACCTTTTTAGTATAAAAAATATCACAGAATAGTGAGATAAAAATTTTGAATCTGAAAATGATAAAAAATGACATAGCATAGTATTATTACAATGTCATAGTATATTATAATAAAAATTTCACTTTTGAGTATGACAAAAATGTCCGTGTATAGGATGTTAAAAAATGTTATAGGATAGTAAGTAAAAAACGTCATGGTACAGAATGATAAAAATGTCATCGTTTAGTTTGATTAAACTTTTATCACAGTGATAACTAACGTCTCTAAAATCCTCTTTAGTTGTAAAGTTAGTGTCAGTTTAGAGGACCCTGTGTTCACTCTCACAGTGATAATTAACGTCTCTAAAATCCTCTTTAGTTGTAAAGTTAGTGTCAGGTTAGTTAGAGGACTGCTGCTCTGTTACTGCTGACTGTCTGGGCTGTGACACAGTTGGCAGAGAAGCTGCTGACAGGAAATGGGTCACGCCTCTACAGTCTCATTCTCCAGTCGGGTTAAACATTGTTCAGCGGGCTGACGGCTGAACATCGCACTGGTGTAGAATTAAACAAAGGCCGCCCGGGCAGAGACATAAAGAGCAACCTCAGCATTTCCCCTTGACGCAGAAGCCTCTGAAACAGCCAAAGCAACAGAGTATTAGCAGATGGAAGAAGCTGAATGAAACCCAAACCCTGGAGTTCTGCAGGGCTCCTAAATGAAGGAGGGTTTAATTTTGCTGTTAGAGTTTATCTTCAGGAGACTCAGACACGTTTAGGGACCAGTGAGACGAGACAGAAACTTCCACAGAGGTCAAGACGAGCTGCTATCTGATATTTACTGAAAGCTCAGAATAATGGTTTTACTCTAATCTCAGTGAGTCAGCCTTTGACTTCACCTGTGTGTGTGTGTGTGTGTGTGTGTGTGTGTGTGTGTGTGTGTGTGTGTGTGTGTGTAAGGAGTTGAAACCACATAATCCCATTCATCTGTAATTAAAAGAGCTTGGAGCTGCAGCCTCCTGCAGCGTCTGAAAGATGAAGAGTGGTCGATCGATGCTGTGTCAGGTCACACCAGATTAACCCTACCTTAGTGTGTGTGTGTGTGTGCGCGCTTCACTGCTGCTCTGAAGGCCTGGTCCTGACTTTAGCGATGACATGGTGGATGGAGATGGATCAGAGTGGGTCTGAACTTCCAGGACGGGTCTGATCCAGTCTCTCCATCAGGTCTTTGTGAGCGGAGAAAAAAAACTCGATCAGCTTTTCTAAGAAACGTTTCAGGAGAACGTGTGATGTGAACTGGCGCTGTATAAATAAAGACAAATAAAAATGGAGTGATTGATGTGATGTGATACCGTACAACATGGTTTGATATAAGACTGAACCAAAGGATGTGTTTGATAGTGTCGACCCTCATGTGTTAAAGTCTATGTTTGTTTATAGGAGGCCAAAATACTGTGATCATGACACTGTTACTACAGACTGACTACAGACTGACTACAGACTGACTACAGACTGACTACAGACCAGTTTCTGTTCTTATATGTACAACAATAACAAAGATCAGCTGTTTGAGACGACAGAACAGATGATTTAATCTACAGACTGAGCTGAGTTTGTCAATCCTCAAATTATGTAACCGGACAATATCATGTCACACTGTACGTGGATATTTACTGTACTCTGTGTGTGTGTGTGTGTGTGTGTGTGTGTGTGTGTGTGTGTGAGAGAGAGAGAGAGAGAGAGAGAGAGAGAGAGAGAGAGAGAGAGAGAGAGAGAGGATAAGAGTTACATAACTGTGTTGAAATGTATCTGGAGTCACATGTTGAGTGTAAAGGCCTACAGTCACACACACACACACACACACACACACACATGTGCAGAGAGTGTGTGTGTGTGTGTGGACGGTCGGACAGAGAGCTCCACGTGTGACCACCACAGACTGACATCATTTTACCCCCACTGCTGTAATGTTATTTCCTGCAGCAGGAAGTTGTCAAAGTAAAAGCCCCAAAAGACACGTCCTGTTTTCAAATTAAAAGCCCAAATTAGAATAAATCTGTAGAATATAAAAACAGGCAGAAACCTGGAAAACAGCCTGGAAACAGCTGCTAACTTCACCCTCTCTCTCTCTTAAAGGAGTTTGTTTGTTGGTTTCTGGACTCCATCATGTTTGAATTGAAAATAAATCCAGGATCACGGTCCTCAGACCTGCGGTAGAGCTGACCTGGAGGTCTTCAGACCTGACCTGGAGGTCCTCAGACCTGACCTGGAGGTCTTCAGACCTGACCTGGAGGTCCTCAGACCTGCGGCAGACCTGACCTGGAGGTCTTCAGACCTGACCTGGAGGTCCTCAGACCTGCGGTAGACCTGACCTGGAGGTCTTCAGACCTGACCTGAAGGTCCTCAGACCTGACCTGGAGGACTCCTGAGGACTCCTGAGGGATTCTCTCTCTCTAAGAGTGTTTATGAGGAAATGACATTTTTTCAGTCAGTTACCGTAGTGACCTGAATATAGGAGCACCCTGATTACATTTAGTCTTTAACTTGAAAACAGTCGTGGAAATCCTCAAACAACAGTTCAGTTTGTATCTGGACGTCATTTCTGACCCAAAAGTTCGAGACTTTTTCCTTTTTACTGAAAAGTCAAAAAAGAAAAAATAGAGGCCCGAGAAATGAACCCTGGGGGACAAGGTTCTGATCCGATCCTGGACCAAACTGGACTGGACTGTCAGGTGGAGTTTCCTGTGTTTGAACAAAAATCAACATCCAGATATTCAACGAAGACGAGCGACCACGGACAAAGAAGGAGGCGGGACCAGGAACAGACATGAAAATAAACCCAGAGCTCTGATTGGCTCAGAGTTTATCCAATCAGGTCACAGCTGTGTAAAGAGTCAAACAGCTTTTTGAATCTCCTGAAAACAATCAGAGGAGGTGAAACCTGAGTCAGCGTTTCCTCACAAAGACGATCCAGGTGTGGCAACTGTGACAAGGTGAGAGCGGGTGAGAGAGGGTAAGAGCGGGTGAGAGAGGGTGAGAGAGGGTGAGAGCGGGTGAGAGAGGGTGAGAGAGGGTGAGAGAGGGTGAGAGAGGGTGAGAGCGGGTGAGAGAGGGTGAGAGCGGGTGAGAGCAGGTGAGAGAGGGTGAGAGAGGGTGAGAGCGGGTGAGAGAGGGTGAGAGAGGGTGAGAGCGGGTGAGAGAGGGTGAGAGCGGGTGAGAGCGGGTGAGAGCGGGTGAGAGCGGGTGAGAGAGGGTGAGAGCGGGTGAGAGAGGGTGAGAGAGGGTGAGAGCGGGTGAGGCAGCTGCAGGAGTCAAACACAAACATCTGCACTTTATCTTCATTCTCTCTGGTTCTGGTTCTGGTTCTGGTTTCATGTAAACAGACGGTCTGATGAGATCCAGCAGAGACCTCCTCCTAAACCCCCGATCCTCCTCCTCCTCCACCAGGACTGAGGATGACCCTCAGACTGTAACACGACGGTCGGGGCCCGGACAGGAAATGTGTGGAGCGAGATAAGAGAAGAAGAGGTTCTGTGCTGACGTCATGGCGAGAGTTAAAAATACAGCGGACCAGGATCAGGATCAGGACCAGGATCAGGATCAGCTGTTAGGACAAAATGTCCAAGAACACGTGGAAACTCTCCGCTCTTCTCTGTGACAAACTTTAACGGATGAAAGTTTGTTTTTTCTTTTTTCTGGAGCTTCATGTTACGAAGGAAGTGACGATCAGAGTTCACGGTTCAGAGAGCAGCTCAGTTAGACTCCAGATCACATCTAAGATCAACTCTAGATCAGGTTTAGACCCTCGTATAGAAACAGAAGAGGACATTTCATCTCATCAGGCTTTTATTTTGGTAATTTCCTGTCCTGTATTTTGGCTGCTAAATTTCTCATATGGTCAGACAATGCTTTTATTTTGTAATAAATCTACTTCCTGTACTGATTGAAAACAGTAAAAGAAAAGTCAGAGAGTCGAAATGTTGAATCGCTAACAGCTGCTAAAGCTAGCTCGCTAACAGCTGCTAAAGCTAGCTCGCTAACAGCTGCTAAAGCTAGCTCGCTAACAGCTGCTTCTTTGTGTCTCGTCTGTTTTACGATGACCTCGGATGTTATTTTTATCGGTAAATTTGGACAGTCCTAAATCAAACACGATCTGGAGGCCCCACTTTTACTGAACCTCGTGTTTTCTGAACTTTATAAAGTTTTTAAAGTCGTTTTCTGATTCCGATCAGAGAGAAATCACCAAAATAAAATCCTGCTGTGTGGACCCTGGTGTTGGTTTGATCATGTGGGTCTTATCTTTATTATATCTGGGATTTTGTTTTGTTACTCACACAGTCACCACAAGGGGGCGCTTCAGGTGGATGAGCAGGTAGTCAGTTGGACGTTTCTGTCTTTGATTTTTATTTAATCAATAAATGGTTAAACTATAACTCAACAACAACCTTGGACTGGACGTCGGATCGAACTGGAAGATCGTCAAAAACACCTCGCTAAACTCCAGGTCACTGATTCCTGCTCCGGTCTTCGCTGATCCTCTCCCCGCCTCTTCCTGTCTTTGTGGTTCTGACTGGACTTTAAAACCGGACCGTGTGGGACAGTTTCTGACCCGTCCTCAGACAGGCGGGTATCAGCAGACTGACATGGTTTTCCCACGGTCTCTCTGTCGTCCTGGACGTTCAGACTAAATACATGAGGCCTTGAGCGCTCCCTCTCTCTCCGCCCACAGGAGCTCTCAGACAGACGGTGGCGGCGGCGGCGGGGAGGAGGAGGTGAAGCGGCGCTCTGCTCTCCACAGACAGCTCCCTCAGAAATGTCAGGGACCCTCCTGTGATGATAAGACGGAGGCGTGTTGTTGCAGCTGCTCCTGTTGTTTGACCCTCAGATTCTTCTTTGTGTCGTTTCAGAAAAACTCGTCCTGCGTTTGTTTTTCGGTGAGGACGGCGCTCCTCTGCTGTCGGCGAAAACTCCCTCAGACTCTGTTTCAGGTTCCAGGGCCTGATTGAACGTCGATTTATACCTTCAGACGGACGTCCTCAGACGCCGAGACCCAAAAAAACTCAGCGTTTCAGTTTCCAAGTCAGAAAATCAGAGGTGGAAACAAGATGGCGACATCTAAAACGGTGACTTTAGCACTTTAACCTTCTTCAGCTCGGACTTCTGACGTCAGAGGAAACTCAAAGGACTGATGGACCGGTCGACCAGAGGTCCTCGAACTACAGTGAGTTTATTATCATGACAGAAATAAAGACAGAGGATTGAACGGGGATACATAAGCGTGAGAAAGGTCAGGTGTGGCGTGACAGAACGGGTCAGATAGTGTGAGCGTCAGACCCGTTTGTCGGCTCTGCGGTTCTGCTGGAAGAGTTTCACGTTCCTCAGAAATCTCAGATCTAAAGAAGATTGTTGTTGGAGCTCCGACCATCTCAGACGGACACACAGCTGAAGCTTTTTAACTCTGCCAACCTGGATTCACACCAACCAAGAACCACAGTCACAGAAACCAAAGGTTCTGGTTCTGGTTCTGGTTCTGCTCGGTCCGTTCTCAGGTGTTTCAGAGAGATGCTGCTCAGGTGGTTTCTGAGCGTAAAAAACTGCTCCATCAGCTTCAACCTGCAGAAAACACCTGAACCAGAACCTTCAAACACACCTGAGTCCAGCTGAGACAGCAGAAGGAGAGGAGAAGGTTGATGTACGAGCGTCAGGACCATCGTGAGTTTGATCCACGAGATCATCGATAAATGATCGACCAGCACCGAGACGGATCTGTGACCGAAAAACAGAGAAACAGGAAACCATGAAGAGACCGGATCTTTGAAAACCAGAGACCTGTCTGGACCCGAGTCCATCTGTGGTGGACTGAGGAGACCAGGAGAACTTTCCTGAGGACCTGAGAATCTACATGTGACATTCAAGTTCTGAACATCATGGAGGAAAAACCAAAGAGACATCTGATCCAGTTTGAGACCAACGGAGACGGAACAACGAGCTGAACACGGAGGATTTCAACATGAACCGGGTCAGGTCCAGACCTGAACGGGAGGGAGGGAGGGAGGGAGGGAGCCACAGACACACAGACACACAGACACAGACACACAGACACACAGACAGACGGACACAGACAGACACACAGACAGACGGACAGACGGACAGACAGACACACAGACACACAGACACACAGACAGACACACAGACACACAGACACACAGACAGACACACAGACACACAGACACACAGACACACAGACAGACGGACAGAAGGACAGACACGAAGACACACACACAGACAGACACACAGACACACAGACAGACCGACGAGGGTTAGAACCAACAAGGAGGAGAAACACAGCTCCTACACACACACACACACACACACACACACACTGGTGGCACACAGACCCAGATATCTTGGGTGCGGTAACTAAAAACAGAATAATGTATACGTCTGTGACTGTTTACACACTCTCTCTCTCTCTCTCTCTCACTCACTCACTCACACACACACACATCTAAACACACACACACACAGACACACACACACACACACACACTCTGAGGACATGAACTCGCTGTCCTCAGCTGAACAGCCGCGCCTGTGTCTGTGGAAGATTACTAAACTCAAACCCTCTCTAGTGAGCGTGTGCAGCTGCGGTCTGCAGGAAGGAGTGTCACACACACACACACACACACACACACACACACACACACACACACACACACACACACACACACACACACACAGATGATGATGTTCTTCTTCATCCATGAGCCTCTCTCAGCTGACTCAGCAGGTCATTCTATAGGTGACAGAGGATCAGAGGTTGACCGTCTTTAGTCTGAGATCTGGAAACACCGACGGTCACATGAGGACAAAGAGAGAAACACGACAACTGGAGACAAAGAGAGAAACACGACAACTGGAGACAAAGAGAGAGAAGAAGTGAAATCACAAAAAGACCTTAACGGTCATGTTTAAACCCTGAAATGTGTAAAATAAAGAACTTCTCCTCCATCTTTAGTTCAGAAATTCGTCCAGGAGTTTCAGTCTGAGGTTAATAAACCTGAATCCTTTCATGGAGAGAGGATCCTGTTTGGAGTCTCTGTATACTGACTGCTGTTGTCGAACCTGTAAACTGACTAAAGGTGGAAAAGTTTAACAAACAAAATTTCTGCTACTTTATTCTAACTGAACTTCAGACCAATCATCTCCTTGACCCTCTTTTGAAAGTCAAAATCAGCCCTTCCATCACCCCTAACCAAACCCCATTCAAAAAACAGTGATTTTATCTCACAGGGCAGGTAGAGCTGCTTGTCTGTATTTCCTTGAATTCACCAGTGTGTTTGTGTTATTATGTGTGATTTAAAGCTTATTTCTGCTGACTGTATTTTCCAACAGCATGACCTCAGCTGAAACATGTCAGGGTGAGGCTGTTTGACCTCATTTCTCAGACATTACAGGACTTCAACAAATACTGTGTTTGGATCAAAAGTCACACAAAACATATGCGAACTAACTGATGCAGACGGGCTTTAACAGGAGACTCTGTTCTTTGAAACTGGAAACAGCTCTCGCCTGGCTCTGCACCAAACCCCATTCAAAAAAACACTAATTTTATCCCACAGGAGAGACACTACTGTTTGTCCTCCTTTGTCTCACTCTCTGAGTTTGTTTGTGTTTCTCTGAGACTTTGGCTGTATTAATGCAGGTCTTCCTTTTAATATGTCTCGTCTGTTTTATATTGAAAGTCGATCAGGATGTTGTACCCTTATTATTTTACACCTGCACTTTAAACAGATGCTGCAGTGGTACCCAGATCCAGATCAGCTGGGAGAGAGGATGTGCTATTTCAGTTCAATTATTTCAATGAGTATTAATTAGAAAATAATAAGTATTAGGAGTAGAGGAAACCTTCAGTGGAGATCCTCATGTAAATAGTGTCTTGATGTGTGGTAGCTGAGCTGAGGTACAGAGTGTCCTGTCAGTGCTGGTTGTATGGAAAGTACACGGTGTTCAGGGAGTGCTGAGGGTACACAGTGTTCTGATGGAGGCTGGCTCAAGCTTTACGTGCGGCAGGAGCAGCAGCAGCAGCGGCGGCGGCAGCCTGTGAGGTCACGTCAGGCGTTTGCTGTCTCTGAATCACAAACTTAATCTAACAGCTGCAGGAAAACAAGCGGGGCAGAAACTCCCCGTCTGTCCTGGATCGACCTGAAACGTGCCGCCCCATACGTCTGAAGTTTAAACAGGCGGCTCACGTGGGGGGGGGGCTGGGCTCACTGTACATTCAACATACATACAGATCCAGTCAGCAGGGTGGCAGGCAGCCAGCCTGTCCTCAGGAAACCTCACATCCTCGGATCAAATCAGAGCACAGAGACGGCTGCTCTGACCGTCAGTCCTGCTCTCTGGGATTTTTTCAGATTTGGGTTTCTGTGTGAACAGATGAAAGTCCTGACTGAGGTGACCTCTGACCCCCCCACAGGTTTATCTCTGTCACCTGAATGTGACCTGAATGCTGTTGTTTCTGTTTTCATTCGTCTATCTGAGCGATAAGAAGAGAAAACATGTTGTTAGAGGATCACTGAAGCACAAAGCCACTCCTGGAGAGGGTTTTACATCAACCTCTGCTCCAGGTGGCCTGGAGGGGCTTTTTAAGGACTTTCAAGGACCTGGGGGACCACAGACAGACCCGAAACAGGAGAGACTACATTAGGAGAAATGTAGGTCAGAGAGTTCAGGAGGTTTGATCACAGACTGAAGAAGGAGGTGAAGGAGAACAAAGATACAGAACCTGCCAGCAGGGGGCGCCTGAGGTCAGCTGTTAGAGGAGCTGCTGTTACTCCTGAGGTCAGCTGTTAGAGGAGATTTCTGACCCCCTTCCTAGAGACTTAAACCGTCTAATTCTAGTGAAGTCAGAGTTTGATATCTTTGAAAATAGAGCGAAGACAACAGACGGACTCTGAGGAAGACCGGACCAGAGGGTCATCTGTTCAGGTCAGAGGGCGTGGCCACGGCGTCCTGTCAAACTCTGACGGCTTTTCACAGTCAATGACCCGCAACAGGAAGTCACAAGAACCAACCATCATAAAGGTCAGGGGGCAGGCGGCGAGACATGCTGACAGTGCTCGGGTCTGTCGGGGCCCTGTGGGGGGCGCTAGTTCTTAATTCTTTTTTGTGCCTTTCGACTCCAAACGGTCTGAAACCTGCTCCTAAATCCTGGTCCTGGACTGTGATTTTAACCCTGACCCCTCACCCTGACCCTCACCCTCACGCTGACCCTGACCCTCACCCTGACCCTGAGCCTCACCCTGACCCCTGACCCTGACCACTCACAACAGCGGAGTCCGATCTCAGTCCCGTTCACTTAAACTGAGACTTTTTTAATCATCCAGAACTCCTGAGTGTAACCTGGTCTAACCCGACTTGGTTCTGGTACCGGTGAACTCGGGTTAGAGGAAATCTTGTGTTTCATGTTTTCAGTTTGTTTCAGTTGTTTGGATCAGTTTCTGTCTTTAATAAGAACCATAAACTCAGACAGTCCCTCCTGTGGTCCTCAGAGCTCCGCCCTGATGTGGTTTCTGGTCATTTACACTGACGGTTACATAATCCTGGTTAGAGCTGCTGGAAGCTTCAGGACTCTCAGGTGTTAATGATCAACAACATCACAGGAAGACTGAGACTGGACTCCTGAAACTGACTCCGCCCACTCATGACGAGGCATCCGCAAACAGACCCCAACAAAGAGAGAGAGAGAGAGAGAGAGAGAGAGAGAGAGAGAGAGAGAGAGAGAGGGAGAGAGAGAGAGAGAGAGAGAGAGAGAGAGAGAGAGGGAGAGAGATCGGGAGAGAGAGAGAGAGAGAGAGAGAGGGAGAGAGAGAGAGGGAGAGAGAGAGAGAGATGAAGTGTCTCAGATCAGAGGAACCTGAAGAACATGAATCTACGATCATCAAACTTCATCAGGAACTCTCTGTTCACTGAAGTCATATCGCCACCAAGTGGAAGACTTCAGTATTACAGCCGTCAACTGAAGAAGGTTTTGAGATTTAAAGACAACCCAACAGACACACACACACACACACACACACACACACACACACACACACACACACACACACACACACACACACACACACACACACACACACACACACACACACACACACACACACACACACACACACACACACACACACACACACACACACAGCTCCTCCTCAGAGTGGTTCAGGGTTTATTTCCACGTGTGTTTACAGGTTATTTTTACGATCATCTCTGTTTCTTTAATTGGACCGTTTCATGCAGACAAACAGAGTCAGAACCAGGACCGGCAGGAGAGTCCAGCTGGGACCTGAAACACAACAGGGGGTCATTAGAGTCTCGTCAAAAACACTGAAATGTCCCTTTAATTTGTTTTGTGGTGAACTGTCCCTTTAAATCGTACCTGAGCGCGCCTGTCCTCCGTTTGGAGCCGAAGTCTCCGCCTCTGAAGACACAAACATTTCCTGTTAGCTCTCATTGGAGCTTACAAACATTAAGCCCCGCCCCCTCACCTGTCAGACTCACCTGTGGTCCTGCTCAGCTCCACCCTGGAGTCGTAGAACTCGTGTGGTTTGCTGACGGAGCAGACGTGCGTCCCGAAGTCATGGTCTTTGGCGTGGTGGATGTGCAGCGTGATGTTGGCGGGGGCGTAGCTGATGGCGTAGCCTTCGCTGCACTTCCTGAACGACTTATGTTTGATGAAGTGACAGAGCAGCGCGCCGGCGGGACTCCTCCACTGCACCGACAGCTGGGACAGGTGGGCGTGGTCTTCATAGCCATAGGTACAAGGCAGAGTGACAGGCTCACCTGGCTGACTCAGCACCTGCACGGAGACACCTACAGGCAGAGACGGGTATAACGCCCGCCAGGAATCAGCCAATCAGAGCTCAGACTGCTAAAAGAAGAACGGGAGAGTCGAGAGTCGAGACCCGTCCAACAGAGAGAGACGGGTCCTAAAGCCCTCCACGTTTACATCCTCATAAAACAGGTCATCAATCAGACCTCCTCCTCTCTCTCCTTCTCCTCTCTCCTCCTAACCTCCTCTCTCTCCTTCTCTCTCCTTCTCCTCTCTCCTCCTCCTCTCTCTCCTCCTCCCCTTCTCTCTCTCCCTGTTTCCCTCTTTCCACCTCTCCTCTCCTCCTAACCTCCTCTCTCTCTCCTCCTCCTCCACCTCCTTCTCCTCCTGGTCCAGTTTTTCAGGTTTTTTATGATGGACCTGCTCACAGAAGATTCAGACGTACCTTCATGGACCAGGTGGGTCAGGATGAGTCCCAAACACAGAGCAGCGGTTCTGAATCGTCCCTCAGCTGATCTCCTCATCTGGGGCAGGATCTGGACCCTCAGAGGAGGTTTGTTCAGAGAGTCTAGGAGCAGTGAAGACCTCCTCCTCCTCCTCCTCACTTTTGTTTGAGTTTCAGTTTACAAGCTGAAGGTCTGAGGTTACCTGGTAACTCTGAAACATGATCCTCAGACTGAACCACCACACTCTCAGAGCCAGATCTCAGACCTCCTAACAGGTCTGAACCAGACCCGGGAGTCAAATCAACACAAGAACCAGAAGAACCAGAGGAACCAGAAGAACCACAAGAACCAGAGGAACCAGAGGAACCAGAAGAACCAGAAGAACCACAAGAACCAGAAGAACCAGAAGAACCAGAGGAACCAGAAGAACCAGAGGAACCAGAGGAACCACAAGAACCACAAGAACCAGAGGAAACCGGAGGAGTCACAGAAACCAGTTTAATATCAATCAGTGAAGTTTATACAGAAAAATGAGACACTGTGAGAGAAGAAGAAGAAGAAGGAGAAGAAGAAGAAGAAGAAGAAGAAGGAGAAGAAGAAGAAGAAGAAGAAGAAGAAGAAGAAGACACTCTGGCCCACAGACCCATATTTACATCTGAACACACACACACACACACACACACACAGGAACCTTCTGGGAGGTCACGTTCAGGGTCTGTGAGGGGTCAGCTGAGGACAGGAGACCACAGTGAGGAGGACTCAGGACACGGGGCCTTAAAGGGATATTCCACCACAAAATGAAGTCAAGGTCAAACTCACCGTAACATTTATAGACTGACTCTAGAATAGACGCCGTCTGCCTCCTCTCTGAGAACAGCGCCCTCTGGTGACGGGCTGCAGTATAGGTCCTAAACCCCGCCTCCTTATGGAGCTGTGGACAAACTTTATAAATGAATGACACAGAATATAAATGTTTCTCCCCCCTGGTTGTGATGTTGACATGTAGTTACTGTCAGACTGGTTTGTGCTCAAGTCCTCTTTTTTCTGTACAGCTCCATTTTTAAAAGTTATTAGGGGGTTCATGTTTTCTATGATTGACACCTGATACAGCCAATGGGAGGACAGAGATTGAGTAGATCACCGGGGGATACGCTGTTTGAGCCGAGCGTCATCACAGAGACTCTTCCGCTGAATACGAACAACGTTACTGAACAAAGTTGGTTTGAGGAAGTGGAGAAAAAACGCAGAATTACCGAGAACTTTTCAGCTTCAGATCTTTAAACTGGAGGAACCGAGGAGTCCAGAGGAGAGACAGTCTGTGGGTTTGACCCTAACTTAATTTTATGACTGAATATCCCTTTAATTCAACAGAACAATCCGACCCAATCAGGGACTTAGAGGAGACCCATGTGACCCACGCAGAACTGCAGCCTGATGACCTTCAGGAGGACGAGGAACCTGACGAGGAACCTGCTGACCTGAAGGTTGGTGCAGACCTCCATCCTGACCATCTCCAGCTCGGTGTGATGTCACTGAGCACCTCCTCGCCCTGCTGGTCATCCTTCACTTTAAAGAAACGGCAGCCGCAGCAGCGCCCCCCTCAGGCCTCGCCCCCCTCAGGCCTCGCTCCTCTGCAGCTGTGAGCCACGAAACAACGTCACGAAACCGACGAGACACGATCACTGAACAAACACGCTCCTATTTTACAGCTCCTCTCAGACGGCTGGTTGTCATGGTGATTCACGACCACGCGGCGTTACTGGATCCCTCTGAACAGACACATGGCGAATATCATGGCGAAGAGCTGCAGAGAGAGAGCGACACAGAGGTCAGGTGACCTTAGATGAAATCTGTCCAAACTGAGACGAGGACATCATCTTCATAAGTGACATCACTGTTTGTTTTCCTTTTTAAACCAATCACAGCTCGACCTCAGACCGCCGTTTTTACAGGACTTCTCTAACGCTCTTTTAACTGGTTCTCTTTAACCTCTGAGAACTTCTGCAGAACCTCCTGAGAGGACCTCCTGAGAGAACCTCCTGAGAGAGCCTCCTGGGAGAACCTCCTGAGAGAACCTCCTGAGAGGACCTCCTGAGAGGACCTCCTGAGAGAACCTCCTGAGAGGACCTCCTGAGAGGACCTCCTGAGAGGACCTCCTGAGAGGACCTCCTAAGAGAACCTCCTGAGAGAACCTCCTAAGAGGACCTCCTGAGAGGACCTCCTGAGAGGACCTCCTGAGAGGACCTCCTGAGACAACCTCCTGAGAGGACCTCCTGAGAGGACCTCCTAAGAGAACCTCCTGAGAGAACCTCCTGAGAGGACCTCCTGAGAGGACCTCCTGAGAGAACCTCCTGAGAGGACCTCCTGAGAGAACCTCCTGAGAGGACCTCCTGAGAGGACCTCCTGAGAGGACCTCCTGAGAGAACCTCCTGAGAGAACCTCCTGAGAGGACCTCCTGAGAGAACCTCCTGAGAGAACCTGCTGAGAGGACCTCCTGAGAGGACCTCCTAAGAGAACCTCCTAAGAGGACCTCCTGAGAGGACCTCCTGAGAGGACCTCCTGAGAGAACCTCCTGAGAGGACCTCCTGAGAGGACCTCCTGAGAGAACCTCCTGAGAGAACCTCCTGAGAGGACCTCCTAAGAGAACCTCCTAAGAGGACCTCCTGAGAGGACCTCCTAAGAGAACCTCCCGAGAGGACCTCCTAAGAGAACCTCCTGAGAGGACCTCCTAAGAGAACCTCCTGAGAGAACCTCCTAAGAGAACCTCCTGAGAGGACCTCCTAAGAGAACCTCCTGAGAGGACCTCCTGAGAGGACCTCCTAAGAGAACCTCCTAAGAGGACCTCCTGAGAGGACCTCCTGAGAGGACCTCCTGAGAGAACCTCCTGAGAGGACCTCCTGGGAGGACCTCCAAATACAGGACCGATGAATTATTGAAGACCAGAGAGAGGGACAGGGACCTACTTCGATGGTCAGGACCACGATGGCGAGCGCTCCAGCTGTGTAGATGTAGGTCTGGAAGTATTCGACCATCGCAGAGTAGCAGCCCTGCAGACACACACACACACACACACACACACACACACACACACACACACACACACACAGAAGTCAGACTTTAGGTCTCAGCTGAATATGTTAATGGAACACTGGGTCAGGGTCAGCGTCCGAGTCTGGGTCTGGGTCAGGGTCAGGGTCAGGGTCTGGGTCTATGTTTGAGTCTGGGTCTGGGTCCGAGTCTGGGTCAGGATCTGGGTCCGTGTCAGGGTCTGGGTCAGGGTCAGGGTCAGGGTCTGTGTAAGATTCTGGGTCAGGGTCTGTGTCCGAGTCTGGGTCTGGGTCAGGGTTTGGGTCAGGGTCTGGGTCTGGGTCAGGATCTGGGTCTGTGTCAGGGTCTGTGTCCGGGTCTGGGTCTGGGTCAGGGTCTGGGTCAGGGTCCGGGTCTGGGTCAGGGTCAGGGTCTTGGTCTCTGTCTGGGTCAGGGTCAGGGTCTGGGTCAGGGTCAGGGGTCAGGGTCAGGGTCAGGGTCCGGGTCTGGGTCTGGGTCAGGGTCTGGGTCTTGGTCTCTGTCAGGGTCAGGGTCAGGGTCAGGGTCAGGGTCAGGGTCCGGGTCAGGGTCTGGGTCAGGGTCAGGGTCAGGGTCTGTGTAAGATTCTGGGTCAGGGTCTGTGTCCGAGTCTGGGTCTGGGTCAGGGTTTGGGTCAGGGTCTGGGTCTGGGTCAGGATCTGGGTCTGTGTCAGGGTCTGTGTCCGGGTCTGGGTCTGGGTCAGGGTCTGGGTCTGGGTCAGGGTCTGGGTCAGGGTCAGGGTCTTGGTCTCTGTCTGGGTCAGGGTCAGGGTCTGGGTCAGGGTCTGGGTCTCTGTCTGGGTCAGGGTCAGGGTCTGGGTCTGGGTCTGGGTCAGGGTCTGGGTCTTGGTCTCTGTCAGGGTCAGGGTCAGGGTCAGGGTCAGGGTCAGGGTCCGGGTCTGGGTCTGGGTCAGGGTCAGGGTCAGGGTCAGGGTCAGGGTCTTGGTCTCTGTCAGGGTCAGGGTCAGGGTCAGGGTCAGGGTCAGGGTCCGGGTCTGGGTCTGGGTCAGGGTCAGGGTCTGGGTCTGGGTCAGGGTCAGGGTCAGGGTCAGGGTCTGGGTCAGGGTCTGGGTCTCTGTCTGGGTCAGGGTCAGGGTCTGGGTCTGGGTCTGGGTCAGGGTCAGGGTCTGGGTCTGGGTCAGGGTCAGGGTCTGGGTCTCTGTCTGGGTCAGGGTCAGGGTCTGGGTCTGGGTCTGGGTCAGGGTCAGGGTCTGGGTCTGGGTCAGGGTCAGGGTCAGGGTCTGGGTCTGGGTCTGGGTCAGGGTCTGGGTCTGGGTCCGGGTCAGGGTCCGAGTCTGGGTCCGAGTCTGGGTCCGAGTCTGGGTCCGAGTCTGGGTCCGGGTCAGAGTCAGGGTCTGGGTCAGGGTCTGTGTAAGATTCTGGGTCAGGGTCTGGGTCAGGGTCAGGGTCAGGGTCTAGGTCTTGGTCTGGGTCTGGGTCTGGGTCAGGGTCTGGGTCAGGGTCAGGGTCAGGGTCAGGGTCTGGGTCTGTGTCCGTGTCAGGGTCTGGGTCAGGGTCAGGGTCAGGGTCTGGGTCTGGGTCTGGGTCTAGGTCTGGGTCTGGGTCTGGGTCAGGGTCAGTACCTTGTTGTGTCTGAAGGGGGTCCCTCCGCTCACACACTGGTCCACGCTGATGCTCCTCTGACAGCAGGACTCAGGGACCAGCTGGGTCGGGTTCAGGAGCCGGAACAGACTCTCCTCGAAGTCCTGGGGGCCGCTGACCCCGCAGCAGTGGAACTACAGAGAGAGGAGGAACTGTGAGAGGAGGGATGGAGGACCGGTGGTCAGACCTCCAGCCTCAGAGACCTTTGAGGGACATCAGGACTACGAAGACCCGGGTCACCTGAGCTGAGATCAGAGACTTCACCCTCAGGTAGACCACTTTGAGTTCATAAAATCATTGTTTTTAAACTGTTAATCTCTGAAACACCTTCAGCTCTGATCATTAAAACAGTAATCAATAATCAATTTGATGTTTTTATGTCAGTTTTTGTTCATCATGTCATATTTATTGATAAAGTTCTGATCAGTCTGTTGGAGCAGAAAAACTCGACATTTTCTCCTCCTTTTCTCGAACCTCAGATCGACCAAATCAAATACGATCAAATTCATGTGTTCATAATAAATTAATGTTATATATAAAGACATCCAGATCT